GATTGCAGAACATATTATGATGTAGGAACAGCTTAAGATCGCAAAACATCTTATGGTGTAAGAACAGCTTATGATCTAAGAACAGCTTATGATCGCAGAACATTTTATGATTGCAGAACATCTTATGATTGCAGAACATCTTATTATTTCAGAGCAGCTTCTGATCGCAGAACATCTAATGATTGCAGAACATCTTATGATTGAGGACGTGCTGCATCCTTCTGCGGGGACATGTTGTATGTTTTATGCAAACAGCAGGATTGGTCGTGTGGACTTAATCTGATCTGTTTTATTATAATTTATTCAGTTGGCGCATTTTGCTGTGCTGTAGTCACCACTCTCCCTGTTGTAATTTTGGTTCATGGTGACACTCAAGAAAAAATAATGCAATGGCTTGTCGGTTCCTTCTGAGCCTGGGGTGTTGAGATTACCTCGTCCCTCCTCTGAGAAGTTCCTCTGACGCGCAGCTTCTGCGCCCAGGCTGGCGAAGACATGTGGGTTGGGGAAATGCGTCCCTTCACAGGTCGGCTCGTGAAACCCTTTCCACTACTTTCATACAGTTTAGCCGGCAGGTCGATGCCGTTGACTGGGGGTATGGCCGTCGCAGTGCCCATGTGACGTCTTGGAGCCATATGTGTTGGATAGAGCCTGGGGACCAGTACAGTTCTGCATTCCAGTTCACCTTATGTTCATTGGAAAATGTCACGATAACATTTCTGACTTTAGCTCTCAGACTGGGATGCGGAAGGAAAAGATTATACAATAAAAATTAAAGGAAATAATTTTAAAAAATAATATTAATAATGCAACACTTAGAGGAGAACGGAAAAAGAAAAGAAAAGACAAAGTTTTTGGAAATATTTCGACAGTCTGTTTTCTTGTTTAAAGATTGCATACAACACAGCGTTTCATTCGTCTTGTCGCGTTGATTAAGAGAATAACCGTTTTTCTCAAGACAAACGACGTTGTATTTTTTATTTTTTATACTTGTATGCATTTTTTAAACATAGCTTGAAGAGAGGCATGCCGTAGAAATATTGTGGAACACTGTGTATTTTCTTTCTTTCTCTTTTTAATCGTGCTCTCCTCTAAGTGTTGAAAAATATTGGAAGAGTTACGTCAATCATTTGGTTTGTTAATAAAAGCAGTAATAATAATATCCAGATATTATCCGAGGAAGTTTACGTTGTACAGATTCCTGCTATCTTAATTTTGTAATGAGAGAACAGTCATTAATCATTCTCGGATTCTATTTTTCAGAATTTGTGGTTGATATGTAAGTGTTATTCTCTGCCAGAGTGTCCGGGATGGAGGAAGTTTCTCTTTCAGAAGTTCTGGATCCATTTGCTTTACTGTTGAATGAGAAATGCTTTAGTAAAATTTAACGACTTTTTTAAAAGATTCTCATTACGACTTTCTCTTAAGTTCTTGGTTTTTCGAGTGGTTTTGTTCACTCCAAATTATCGCTTTTACTCTCCGAAATCATCAGTCTAGAGCAATTTATTATAAATTCACTCATGGTGTGCATATCTAGTCTACAGACAGAAAACATAACAACCCGATAAGAAATCATAGCTGAGTTCCCCTTTTATTTTATTTTAATTTTTTTTTATTTTATGCAATCATATCTTTGTAAAAAGAAAAAGCCAGGTTTCCCTCTGAAGCAAAAGCCTTCTCACTGACATGTTACAGATTTTAACAGTGAAAGGCAAGGATTCTTTACCTGTTAAAAAAATAAAAAGATTTTGACGTAACTCACGATACTTAGAGAGAAGATGGAAAACCCTGGATGATTCGCTAATCCAAGATACATTAGAAATACCGGATTTGCCTGCGTCAAAGGCGCTCTGACGTCAAGGACGTAATCCCTAGTTTAAAGTGCAATTCTTTTTTTATATAAAAAGACTGTACATGAATATAAGCTCAGCTCTTTTTCCTATTTTACTAAGATGTTTTGTGAAGGGGTTCAGCAGCATCTCGATCATACCGACCCTTCATGAATTGAATTTTATTATTTTACCCTTACAGTAGGGAGACACATATGTTTACTCTCTCTTAGACGTATAAGTTACTTAGTGGGATGTCTATCCACGGTAGAGTTGCATCAAGCACGATGATACTCCAGTTCTATAATTCAATGTTCCCCCCAGCAGTGAAATATTGGCTGAAAGTCCATTATATGTCTAGAGGCGAAAAATTAAGTCTAACTTTGTTAAGAGTTTTATCCATAGTGTGGAATATATGAAAATTATAGATAAAATAAAGCCTTACATAAATGTAAAACACTAAGCTTTATTTATATGTTTACGTATTACAATTTACTTATATAAATTCTTTAAAAAATATTTTCAAACTACAATATTCACCAGGAGGCAGTAGTGTTATCGATATTTAAATTCCTTGATAGTGCTAGTCTTCTGGCTCCCCTGCCGTACTTACCCTTCTCTACCACATGAACATTCTGTACATATACATATTTTTTATTTATTATACTTTGTTAATTTACTACCGTGAACAGTGTATAATTTTTTTAAGAGATCACATTAATCAAGAGATCACATACAGAAATTCAGTTTACCGCCTGGCATAGATAACACCTCTGCGGTTAACATAGGCCTACGAAAACCCTGACCTTCGACATCAAGGACGCACGACAAATTTTCAAGATATTTCAGAAAAACAAACTGCGTCTTTGACGTGGGCAAATACGGTATATAAAAGGGCTCTGCTGAAGACCTCCATAATCATCTAGATAAAAATAAGACAGTCTATTCATAGGCTCTTCCCTTAATGGTAATATGTATCTCATTATTACATGGCACTTAGCGGTAATATTGACACTGATTAATGACATATCTTGCTCGAGGAGCCTGAAAGATACCACCAGTCTTCTATAGCAAACTAACTACTTTTAGAAGATACGTCTTACCTAGTATTCTTGCTCAAGACTGGCAATTTCTACACACTATTGTCTCGTAGTTCTTGGAGAGATGGAATTGGTTAAATGCCTTCTTTTGCATCGAACCCCTGTACAAATCATGGAAGCTGCTAGTTTGTTTAAACTATTTCACACGGCCGAGAAAATGTATTTACCAACAATATTAAATATTTTTTAATAGAAATAAATTTTTTTTTTAACTCAAAAGGATTTAAACTATTAGTTTGGTGCAAAAATAATGACGTAATAATGTCGTTTTTTATGTATTTTTTAACGTCAAAAACGACATTATTACGTCATTATTTTTGCACCAACCTAATATGGGTTATGCTTCGATGTTCGATTCTCAACCACCAATTAAAGATATCATGAAAAATAGTTAGGTCATGTTTGGACGTTCGATCCCTAACCCTCAATTATCTATATCAGTAAAAAAAAAAAAATCTTGTCGTACCTGGAGATTCGATCTCAAACCACCAATCTTGTATATAAGAAAAACAGTCTGTTTATGCCTGGAGGTTTGATCCAGTTGTACTTGGAGGCGCAGTCTCCAACTAGCAATGAATTATTTATATTTTGAAACAAGTCTGGTTGTGTTTAGGGGTTCGATCCGAACCACAAATTATCTATATCAGGAAACGATTCTTGTCGTGCTTGGAGGTGTAGTCTCCAACCACCAATTAATTGTTTATATCACTAAACAAATCTTTTTTTTTTTTTTTGTATTTGGATGTTCTACCTCCAACTACCACTACAGAGTCTTATCACTGTCATGCCACGATCGTAAACAGCGAAGAAATTGGATGAGTAAATACACATCTGTGTTCCTAAAACTACCTCCATTTGCCCAGACAGTATTAGCAAATTGGCTAATATATCTATTATCAGCATTGACAGATGGAGACCATTCAAATGTTTTAATCACCGAGTCAAGATTACTGTATCACTTGTATTGTAGCAATTTAGCTTGTTATCACATTGGTTTACGCTTCAAATGTATTTAATAGTGTGAGATGATATGGCTTCAAACAATCGTCTGGAACGCACGATACGTTTATTTATAATGAGCGTAATATGTGGTATAAAAATGTCTGGAATTGACGTAAGTCAGGGATTATGTGGTTAGGTCAGTGACGAGTAAAGAAGACGAGAGAAAAAAAAGCAAAATGGGCAAGAGAAAGAAAACGAAGAGGTGGGGGAAAAGTGAATATTTTGGAATAGAGAAAAAGAGAGACGGGAGGAATTGAATAATTGAGAAATGAATAAAGGATAAAAACAAAAAAAAATCGCAGAAAGGAAAAATAACATCAACAGCAACAATAATAATAATAATAATAATAATAATAATATGAGACTTTACAATACAGACAGACAGAACGATCAAAGCTAGTGGCCCAGATATCCCGAACAGAGACCATAAGAACAGAATGTGCTTTCTTATTGACACTAAAGTTCCGGTAGATTGTAATGTATCTTTGAAGATCTTCCAAAATCTATCAAAATACAAGGATCTTGAAGTGGTAATCTCAAAAAGACATGAGGGAATTAATAATTCCAGTTGTAGTTGGAGTCCTCGGATTGATTGGAAAATGTTCCTACAGACTCGTTGAAGAAGTACAAAAAATGTACACACATATACAGGTCACACTTTACGAAAAGCTTTATCTAGATAAAATGTATGTGACCTTAAGTTTTGTTTATTTTTTAATTCTTTTAAAATGCTCAGTGGAAAATGTCATTATACTATTTTTGACCTTAGGTCTCTGGTCGGGATAAAAAGGAAATCAGTATAATAATAATAATAATAATAATAATAATAATAATAATTGCCCTCACGAGTAAAGCCCACACCTTACGGAGGGCTTTATCTATGTAAAATATGTGTGATTTTTTTTTCATTTACTCAGTGGAAAATACCATGATGCCATTTGTAACCTTAGGTCTCTGGTCGGGACCCGGAAAGAGCACACACCAGAAATCAAAGGAAATAATATTAATAATAATAATAATAATAAAGGTTTCAGGAGCTGGAAAATGTGGATAAGAAGTTTGTAAAGTTAGGTCAGTGACTTTCTTGAGAGAAAGAGAAGGAGAATAATATGACTAAAAATATTGGAAAGAAAAAAGAAAAAGAATAAAGGAGGATGAAAGAATAAAATTTAGGCGTTAAGGAATTAGATGAAGAAAAGTAAAAAATAAAGAAAGAAAGAAAGAAAGAAAGAAAGAAATAAAGAAGTGTAAACAGAAAAACAAGTATGGAAGAAGTATGAGAAAGAAGAAGAAGAAAAGATGAAGAAGAGAAAAAGGGAAAAAAGAGGTAAAAACGTAAACTTAAGGAAGGTGGGAGAAAAAAAAAGAGAATCGGAATTAAAATGGTGGAAATTTCAGAAGAAAAAAGAAGTAAGAGAGAGAAAAAAGAAGATTAGAAGAAGAGAAAGAGGAGTGCTAAAAAGAGAAGTTTGTTTTGGTTTGGTTTGTTTTACGGCTTGGTTTATTTGATGCCGACAAGATTCTTATTGTCAGTCATATTTTTTTTCACAAATGTATTGCTGGTGATATTTTCTTTCCAATAATGTACTGCTGGTAAAATTTTATTTTTTCGCAAAAATGTATTGCTGGTAATTTTTTCCCCCAAAATGTATTGTTGGTAATAATTTTTTCCAAAAATGTATTGCTGGTATTAAAACCTATTTTTTGCACTTTCATAGTATTTTAACCTCCGTTTGGGGGTTAACTATTTGTCCATACCTGGGACCCTAACAACCCAATGTCAGGGTGGACCTGGGAAAACCAGCAATTAAGAGATGGTTCCACGCTGCCGGATGTAGTTTATCATCATACCCAGGAACGAGAAAAAGAAAGTGGGGAAGAGTAACTAAAGAAAATTTAGTGAAAAGGCAAGAGGATAACAGGGAAAATAACAGAAAGAATATATAAGAAAAAGTGAGAGAATAAAGGAGAAATGAATTGAAAAAAAAAAAAAACGAGAAGAAGGAGGTGAGAAATAGAAAAAGGAAGAGGCTGAAAAAGGGGGAGTGGCCCAGAAGGTGTCTGAAAAAAAAGAAAGTAATGTGTAAAGAGAGCGATTCGATAGAAATCGTAAAGAGAAAAGTAAAGAAAAAACGTTAGATAGGATAGATAACGGATGAACCTACACCTGAAGTGAATAAGATTGTAGCAACCTGGTAAACGTCTACCTGGGATCTGTCTATATTTCTGAACCCTTTATTTAGTCAACGGAGATAGATTGTTCTAATTCCCCGTACCATGCCTTTGGATATATCAGTTTTAGTTCATCACCTTGATAACTCTCCAAGATTTTGTTCTCTGAGGCCAGGGATTCAGTAATCTTCTGCTTTGTGTGGCTCTTGGGCCTTAGAATACCTCTTAATTGCTGTTGTTACCAGGTCCACCCTGAACCGGGGTGGTAGCACCTGTTATGGTCGCAACTATAAGCAAAAGTTAACCCCTAAACAGGAGTCAAAACATTAAGAAAATATAAAAATGCCAGCAATACATTTTGTACAAAAAAAAAAAAAAATTTAATGAAATTACTAATGATCGTAAGAAAATTAAATGTCGGCATTAAATGAACCACCAAAAATATTTGCTAAGTAACAGTCTAACTCTCTGCTCTCGGGCGGAGAGGAACCCGGATGAGGCTCCGCCGAAGGGCAGAGTCTCGTTCGCGGTGGCTGACTGCCCCTGAACCCGTTTATGCGGGTTCAAAGAGGGAATATTTTTGGCCTCGGAAATCCCACGTTAAACCCGGCCTTGTGCCATATGTAACCCTCGTGGGGGGATAGCTAAATATCATTAAATGAACTACCAGGAGTTGATATGTCGCTATATTAATAAACAAACCCTGTTACGTCAATAAAACAAACTCGTTCAGTAATCTCCTGCTTTGTGTGGCTCTTGGGCCTTGGAATAGGCGAACAATAATATAAAAGATGAACTCCGCAAGGGACAATCCAGAAAATATAAAGCGATTGGAAAATGCCGTAAGAAACAAAGAAAAATGTGTGGGACTATAATGTTATATCTAAAATTGTATCTAATAGTGAATGTTGGACAAATTGATCACAGATGAAGTAGAGACTAAAAGCTAGAGAGATGTGCTTCTATCGATAAATGCAGACACTATCAAGGAGGACATTTTTTAAAAGGGGGATATGATTTGCAAAGAAATTGCTGATAACTCAATACAGCTAAAATTTTGAGGCCATATAATGAAGAATAAGAATTTAGCACTCGCAGTGCCAGATAGCCAGCTAAAAAAACAGTGAGTAGCCTACTTAACAAGTCAGAGTAAATAGACAAAAGAACAAGACCCCCACAGACAGAAGAGCAAAAATTAGAGTAGCAACAAACAAGAAGATATGAAGAGCCACGATAACCCTCTTCCAGGAAGGACACTATATGTGAAATAATATTCATTGTTTTCTTTTTCTAAAAACAAATTAATGGCAATGAAGTGAAAATAGTTAAAAGGAAGAGGAATAAAATGAAAGAAAATAAATGTGTAAGAATGAAGTGCAATGGAGCGTTAAAATAGTCGAATGCATAATGCAAACAAAGAGCTGAAAAAGAAACGGAAAGGGCGGTAATGAAACGCTAATTCGAAGAACCAAACAACAAGAGTAATAGAAAAATGTAAACGAATGGAAAAATAAAGAAAAGAAATACAACGAAAGAAAATGAAAATATATGCCGATAAGATGGCGTATCTGAATTTGCTCAAGCCCGCAATTTCCCGCCCGGAGGGAAAGCCAAAATCTCTCTGATCGAAATCTTTTCCAGCCCAAGGTTCACATAGACAACTGACCTCTTTCTTTTGTACAAAATGCTGGACCACCCAGGCAAAATCAAAGTAGTTTTCCTGTTATTTTCTTTCCGTATCTCTGAACTTTTAACCCTATTTTATCTTTCGTTTGCTTTTTTTTTTCGAAGTAGAAGGTTACTTTAAGAGTCAGTTTAAGCGAATAGGAAGATAGGAGTTAACCCTAGATTTGAACAGGTTAAGATTCTAGTGAATGGTGAAACATCCTCTTAGGAGTTGGTTCCACAGAACAGTGGTTCGCGGGAAGGAGCTGTTTGACTAGAATTTACTTTTCGCCAGTGGAACACGGGGATAATGTGAATGGCTTGCTACAATGTGAATGTCATGGTGGGTCCTAGCCGTGAATGTTAGAACTGGAGGGACCTTATGAGCACTTTCTATAGAAGCAGCGATAAAGAAGTGAAAGTCTTGCAACATCCTCCTTGTGAGAGAGAGGTTGGAGTGTGGAAAATAATTTGTCACCCACAAGGACTAAGTGGTCGCTTTTAGACTCTATCGAATGTTAAATAATTGTTTAGCAGAACATTCATTTTAAGGGGGAAATGTATCTCAGTTCCGGTTGACCTTCGGGGTAAGGTGCAAGGCATAATAAGGAAGTCGATTTTGATTGACTGATCTAGCGTGGGAATGATAGAGAAAAGTTTTTCAGCAAGTCGAGTCTTAACCGTCAAGCAATGTAGACGTGTTCTCTTTCGTGTTTGAAACGGCTCCTCACTGAGAGGGGTGACGACTGGATACTTAGTACATGTCGACATTAATATAAACAAGATAAGTTAAAATTCTCCGTGTTTGATGTCATTCATTGCTAACTAAAACAACTAGCAATCGCCAGCCAAGGGAAGACGAGATGAGACCACACCCACCAAGGGGCTATGCAACACGAGGTTGGTGAGTGAGAACTGGCCATCTCCCGCCCAAATATGACAACAATACTGTAGAAGATAGCAAGCGGAGACGGGTAATTTCTGGAGCCATAGAGGAAGCCGACCATTTCCTCTGTAGTTGTAAGTTTAAAACCTAATAATCTCTCAAGAGACAGAGTCTCCCCGAGGCGACATCTATTCCTTGTGACTGATTGTAGCTCGGAGTCCGATCGGCGATATCTGGAATGTAACTAGTTTGGTTTTCGAGGCATCGAATGTAACCATTTATTTTTCCCTCCACTGACGAGTTAGTGCTAGATCGGATGAAAGATCAGTTGGGAAGAGTTTTAAAAGATGATGGAAAAATGTGACAACGAAATCCGAAGGTGTACTGGAAAAGCAAAATATGCCTTCCAAAAACTAAACAATGTATTAAGAAAAACTATTTACATCGCTCAGACTATCGTCCTCATCTTTGTTGCCATATTTATCACAACGTTTCGGTCGTTGTACGCTCCGGCCTTCTTCAGATAGTTAGAATGTCGAACTGAACCCTTTATTTCGCTCACTGGGGTAGACTGTTCTAGATCCACGTGCCATGTCTAATGGATGTCAGTTGGCAGTTATCTCGTGTTAATTCCCTTCTCCAAGTTCTCCACCGCCTTAACCAAATATTGAACTCATACTCTTTGCGTCCTGTCACTGGATCTAACTAACGACTTTATCTACTGTGCCATGGTACGTTGTCATAAATATGGCAAGACAGATGAGGACGATAGTCCGAGCAATGTAAATAGTGTACATAATACCTCATCTCAGAAATATAGATAGGTATTAAGAAACATTAAAATGTTGCTGAACTGCGATGTAAAAAAAAATTCCTCGTATATAGCACTGAATACTGGATAATTTCCTCCGAGGTGAAGACAAAACTCAAGGGAACAGAGATTCCTTGTTTTATTTTTACAATAATATTTACCCTGTACAAGGCCTAAGAGACACTTGAGGTGGATGTTATAGAGTAAGTGGTAAGGTGATGAAGAGGACAGATAACGATTAACCCTAGAATTGAACAGGTTAAAATTGTAGTGATCGAGGAATTCTTCTCTTGAGAGTTGGTTCCACTAATTGGAGCTTCGTGGGAAGTGGCTGTTCGAGTAGATTACAGAAGAACGTGAGAGAACTACGTATGGAGAATGTAAGCAATAAGGAGACTTTAAGGAAATGGAAACCAAAAGGAAACTCATGCATAAAATAACGAGACAATGAGTATTTCTAGGACATACAATGAAGAAAGACGGGTTAGAAAATATAACACTCACATGACTTGTGCAAACCTCGCCGAACAGAGCGTGTAATGGAAAGTAAAAAAGCCTTGCTAAGAGCTACAAAGGATGTATAGTTTTGGAGAGCCACGATTGTCTACATAGATAATTTGCTTTTAGTTCGCTTTAGTCGGTATTAATTAAATTGGCTTTCACGCTGGCTTTGCCATCCATCAACTCAGCCTCTTTAGTGCAACAACGAATAAGCTAACTTAGGGTAGAAATCCTCGAGACAGGGCCCATCTCGTTACAAAACGTCCGAAGACAGGTATACGGAGAGCGGTAAGGAAAAGATACTACACTTCGATCACGTATTTAATCGCCTCACTTCGATGACGAGACCTGACACAATTGATTTAATTAAGTGCTGCTCATATAGCGATTTTCCAAGCGTAGCTTAGATGCGGCATAAGGTCGAAAGCATGGGGCACCCAGTGAGGATCGAACTCACTATTCAGTTGTAACCGTTTTAGCGAGACACGCTTGCTAACCATTAAACCATGCCGAGGTGCCCTAGTGCTTTTCCAGGTGGTAGCTTAGATCTAGCACAAGGCCGAAGGTAGGGGGTACCCAGTGAGGATCGAACTCACTACTCAGTCGTAATTTTAAGCTTGTTAACCATTACACCGCCTCGAGGTACCCATGTGCTGCTCATATAAGCACAGGCAAAAGAAAAATAAAAGTTTCACTGTCCTCGAGACCACTGACAACCTGATGTCGGTCGACACCAACACACATTTTTTTTTTGTTACAATAAAGGTGCTGTCGCAGGGTTTGGACTATCGGGTCTAGGCCGTCATCATTACTTTAAAAGGAAGAGACATTAGATACTACACTTTGACCTCAGCCTAAATGCAGTGTAATATTAATCAGCCTCCCCACGATGGCAAGATATGACGCATTCGGTTTAACGTTGGATCGCCATTATATATATATATAGAGAAAGGATAAAAAACTATTTTACGCAATAACCGTAACCATTAACACGCTGGCGTCGGTATCCACTAATTCTCCCTCTCT